GGAAGTAGAGGAGGTGGAGGGCGGTGCCATTGGTGGAGGAGGAGAAGAAGAGAAAAGAAATTAGCATTTCTAATCCCTAGAGGTGGAGGAGATGGTGAAGGAGGTGGAGGAAATGGAGAGGAGAGGGAAGGATGAGGTGGGAGAGGAGATGCAAGGGGAGGGGTATTGAGGAGGGAAGGAAGAAGGTGGAGAGAGGAGAGGGGTAAAGCGGGTATTATTTTAAAAAAAATTAGGCTCAATAGTGGTAAATGTGTGACATTGGGAACATGTAAACAAACCTATGTGGTTTACGTTAAAAAAAAAAGTAAGGTGGTAAGTTGCAATTTGAGTATAAGGTAAGGTCGTTTTTATGTAAAAATCCAAACTTAAATATTACCTATTTGAGTAATTTTACACACATAGTTATTTTTAATTAACATACCTAATGAACATCTCAAATGCTCGCAATTGGTGAATACCCTAAATATTTTAAAATAATATATATATTGAACATTTCATAATTAAAATTTCAGAAAAACTTAAATGTGTGGCTAAAACTAAGGTATATCTTTTTTTGCGTGTGTTTACACAATATAATATTGAATAGATAAAATGTTTAAAACAAAATGCATTAAGTTAGGATTTAGTTGTGATTTAAGAGTCGCTATATGAGTAATTTTTTGATAGAATTATTTGAGTAATTTTATGCACGTAATTCTTTTTAATTAACATATCTATTGAATATTGCAAAAGCCTAAATATTCAAATTTTCACTTTTCGAACTATCCTTGTCCATTGAGTTGGTTGCTCATAGTAAAATGTCTCATCTTCCAATTTGATAAAGTAAATTGTCACACAAACGATACCTCATGCTTAATGCAGATAACTATGCGAACAAAATATAATATTCTAAAGGCTAAATATCAGAAAACCCCCCTTAACTTTGGACGATAATTAGATAACCTCCTGCAACTTTGAAAATATCAACAAAAAACCCCTAAGTCTAGAGGTTATCAGAAAACCCCTTCAACTTTAAGATTTTATCAGGTAACCCCGCTAAACGATGAATTTATGATGATTTTCAGACAAAATCTAAAAGTTGAATGTGGTTTCCTTATAAAATCTAAAAGTTAAATTTTTTTTGGGGGGTGGAGGGGTGGGGGGGGGGGGTGGNTATTATATCCCAAAAATCTACCATGTAAAGGTAGTCCATGAAACCATACTAATAATTAAACCTTAGATTTGCCTTCAAAAATTAGATATTTAAATTATATATCACATGACATTTGAATTTCATAATATCTCTAATTGATATTTAAATTAGATGAGGCTTATCTTATAGAATCCTACAAAATATACCAACCATATCACCTCACTCTCATGTACTATTTCATTCTTTAAAATCGCGATCAAAAGATTTTTTTTTCATTCTTTAAAATTGCGATCAAAAGATTTTTTTTTTTCTTAATGACTGTTTGATCTCTATTCATATCAAACTTTGATTGAATATTTTTTTGCCTACACCCATATCTCTTGAAGTTTGTAGATTATGATAGCACCATCTTTCCCAAGTATTTAAATATATATTATTAATTAGGATGAGATTAGAATATAATATTAGAAAAGGCTAAGGATAGTATTGACCATAAAAAGCTTTTTCTAAAGTCACACTTTTATGAGAAGTATATGATATGATACAAACTTTTTTATTAGCATTTTGGTCTTTTGAACCCATCTATATCCAGCACGTGTGTTCCCTGTGAATTTATATGTTGTTGATAAATCCTCCGATATTCTAATGTGTTCCAGAAAGGACATTACTCACTTATCAGGGTCGAACATTCATTCCAGAAAGGACATTTGAATTTCATAGTATCTCTAATTGATATTTAAATTAGATGAGGCTTATCTTATAGAATCCTACAAAATATACCAACTATATCACCTCACTCTCATGTACTATTTCATTCTTTAACTGCGATCAAAAGATTTTTTTTTTCTTAATGACTGTTTGATCTCTATTCATATCAAATTTTGATTGAATATTTTTTGCCTACACCCATACCTCTTGAAGCTTGTAGATTATGATAGCACCATCTTTCCCAAGTATTTAAATATATATTATTCCCAAATATTTAAATATATATTATTAATTAAGTTGATATTAAAATATAATATTCAAAAAAGCTAAGAATAGTATTGACCATAAAAAGCTTTTTCTAAAATCACACTTTTATGAGAAGTATGATATGTTATAAACTTTTTTATTAGCATTTTGGTCTTTTAAACCCATCTATATCCGACATGTGTACCCTGTGAATTTATATGTTGTTGGTAAATCCTCTGATATTCTAATGTGTTCCAGAAAGGACATTACTCACTTGTCAGGGTTGAACATTCATTCCCTACTATACATGTAAGATGATAGAAAAATAGCTCAATTTGGACATCAAGATGTCTTAAGTCATAAAAGGCAAGGAGTACATATTTGAAACTTTATATAGTAAACGAGCGTATTTGCAATAACAAAACTCCTAGGTACCGTTTGGCAAAAAGTTAAGAAAGAAATATTCAAAGGAAGGACTAAATTAATTAATTAAAAGGAAGGACTAACTTAGTTAACCTTTCACAAGAGATGATGTACATCCATGAATCACAACAGGGAGCAACTTGTTTTCACAACATGCACCAAACCAGTACTTCCCTAAGGATCATATACAACTCATAAGAACCAAATCTGAAACAAACTATAAATAACAGTAGGCAGTATCCGAGATAAACTAAACTACTCATCGTGTTCTCCGACTTCCTGCAGGTTTCGATGGAGACGAAGACTTGGCCTTTGCAAAATCTACCAAGTCCTTGAAAAGACTGTCCTCAGGTTTATTTACCTTGGCCACTGGCGACTCATCCTGATCGTCCATGAGAAGGGCACCTTGTGCTTCAAGAATGTTGGTTTTAGCTTCGTTAAGAGATAAGTTCTGTGTTTGTCCCACTAAACCATTGTAAGAGTTTCCACCTGAAGAAGTCTGTTGCTTCTCAAAATATTGCTGCCTTTGGTTATATTTTGCTGGAGGTGGTGGCAAGAAAGTACTAGATGACTGAGCTTCTGTAGGGGCCTTTGAGATCTTCGATCCTGGAATGGGCTTATCATATTTGGGCTCAACATATTTGGGTTCAACATATTCGGGCTCAACGTATTCAGGCTCAACATATTTGGGCTCATCATAAGAGGGTGAAGCCGAGTTCGCGGGGATACTTGATGTTCTTTTTCCGTTGTAGAAATCTCCACTTAAGTAGTCGAATGAGGGCACCTCGGTATTGACTGAATTTTTTACTGATGGGGGTGAAGGAAGAAACGGACTCATGTGCATCTGCTCATTATTGGCAATAGAAGGCTTCTTACCTTGTGCAGTTCCGTTATCTCTTGCAGTTCTGGTATAATATTCAAATTATCAAAATGAACTGGTAAAAAGTAGAATATGACCCTAATGGACTTCATTTGTAGGAAAAAGATATGTTTTCAGTCTGAGGCAGTTTGATGAGATGCAAATTCTCAAAATGATTTCAGTTGCAAATGATTAATTTGGCTTCTGAAAGCAATTCGCCAATGGATTCAAGGGCCTGTTTGGCAACCTTCAAAAATGGTGCCAGGTCTGAACCTTGTCACATTTTGAGTGAAATTTTGTTTGGGTAAAACTGGGCCAAAACTGGCCCCGTTTTACCTGGGTGAAAAAAACCCACTAAACTGGTTCTTCTTTTATCCATGGGGGGTTGGATAAAAAAGAACCAGTCCTCCTCAAAACTGAGCCAGGTTCAATCTTGGCCCAGTTTTGAGAAGATTGCCAAATACATCCTAAGGAATTGATGTGTAAACATCAACATATGCTGTCATGCATGCATGTTCAACGGAAGACCGACTCTATGCTCTTGAAGTTATTTTATCTTTTTATTTTTTATATTTTTTGTCTTGCATTTGGGTCCATATTTAGATTTACTTATAGTTCCTCTTTTGCTTTATATTTTTTTGGATTCACATTTATGTTTATGTGCTCCATCCATCTGTGACAGGAAATGAGAAGGCTGATTGAAGAATTAAGGGAAAGCTCAAGATTTATTACCTACGAGATAGCTGAGATAACTCATCATCTTCAAACTCGTCGTCTTCATGATTAAGGTCAATTAAAGAAGCAGCTGAGGGTACAGCAGCCGCAGGAGCATTCTTCACAGCACTAGTATTCCCTTTCACTATGTCATCATACTGCTGAAGCACACGCTGTAAGTCATCGTTTAGTGCCAGGCCCTGAAATAATAGTTCCTCATCGCTGCATGGTGATTAACCAAAAAGGTAAATATCATATAGTTTGAAGTTATGGTTCTCTAGCAAAACATCAACATATACATACCCAGTACTATTCATGAGTGCCATGACACGTGTTTGATAAGAACGACATTGTTCAACTAGGTCAACAATAACTTCATCCTTTACACTCTGTCCAACAGATAAATGCAAGAGAAAAACCGGGAAGTTAATATCTTACTGATAAACTGATATATATCATAGCAGAATAGGTAGAATGAAGGCTTAAAAGCTTTTATATGAAGTGAGACCATAAGGGCAGCTTTCACTTTTGACTTTCAGATAACATCTCATCATGGTTGCATGGACAATAAGAAACTTGACCAGAAGCGTAATAGAGGGGAGCAAAATTTCCTTTCTATGGAATTAAGAAAAGGACGTAATTTATTGTAGTATTACCATTTTCTATTCACCAGAACATAATCGATCAGTCTCAGGAGAGGGCGACAAGCAAGCTTGATCTGCCGAAGAACAACGGCCCCCCCCCCCCCCAAAAAAAAAAAAAAAAAAAAAACATCTGTAATGAAATAAAGGTCAACTGTTTAATTTTTGGAAATACCAAACTCAGCTTTTTTTCTTCACTTCAACTTAAAAAGACATCATTTCATTGCAAATAAAACGCTGAATCCCTCAAGAGTTTGATGAGATTCTTTTCCTCTGATACTTGCTAGGGAGGACAACCAAACAATACCTTAGGTAGGGCATTTCAATTATAAGTTGGTCCTAACCTTTGATTCCATTAAGCTTGTGAGGTTTCCTTCCACTAGCTTCCTAAGCCTGACTAAATGAAAACCTATCTGTTAATCTTCAAATTGAAATTGAATATTGTAAAAGCTAACATGGCCAACAAAAAGAAGAAAACACAGGATCCAGTGGATTCTAAAAGCTAATTTAAATGAAAGAATAGTGGTCTAGATATCCTCCAACTCCCCCAAAAAGAAATGTCTAGATTGATGTGGATTTATTCCTCGACATCTATGAAGCACCGACACTCGCAAACAAGCCCTGAGTCCGTGTCCAACGCGTATCGGACGCGGACACGCGTTTGACACGACATCTATGAAGCACCGACACTCGCAAACAAGCCCCGGGTCCGTGTCCGACGCGGACATGCGTTCGACACGCGTCGGACACGTGGTCAACGCCGCTAACACGGGTCAACGGTTCGACTCGCCGCAAACACAGGTCGGACACGCGATTTCTCTCCCGACACGGCTGAGAATATACCCGAAACCCAAGATCTGAAACCCAAAGCCGAAACCAAAACTCAAACTTGAAACCCAAACCCTAACCCTAGTCGTCAGCTCTCAAACCCAAACTTACCCGAACTTACCCGAATACCAGCTCTCTCGTCGTCGAAAGGGCTCTTGCAAAGAACAGCCGCCAGCTCTCAATCTCGTCCTTGTCGTCGTCGATAATCCTCGTCAGCTTCGTCGTCGTCGATAATCCCCGTCAGCATCGTCGTCGTCGATCATCCAAGGTCAGTCTCTCCGATCTCTCTCTCTCTCAGTCGCTCTCTCTCTCTCTCTCTCTGATCGCTCTCTCCGATCTCCCTCTCTTTCTCTCTCAAAGATCACACAAAACCCCCCACGAACTTTCAAAGTCAACCCCCCTTAAGTTACTGTTTTACTATTATTAATTTTTAGTTACTGTTTTACTTTCATTTTTTAATTTACTATTAAATATGATTTTAGTGATTGTTTTACTATTACTAATTTTTTAATTTATTGTTATTGCTATTGTATTTTACAGAAATGGAATAAGACGGGAGT